ACTTGGATGTGCGGATGGTGTAATGAGTAACGATTGGAAATTGAAAATCAGAGCGCCGAGTTCCAATTCCAGTTGGGTTTGTTATATTCACTTACGCGTAAATATCTTTAGGAAAAGTATGAATCTACCTCTTCTCCTCTCAGCTATGGGTTAATTAGTAGGATTTTTATCAGTAAATCATTATCTCCAAAAAAATGTTATATTAAGTTCTTAGGACCTAAAATATTATCTGGCTTTAAATAACCTGAAAAAGGTTGATACACCGTAAAAAATCAATCAATCATATGTCACAGAGAAAATGAAACTATTCAAGAGAAATGACAAAAAAGAAACTGTAGAGCCAATAAATAGGCTAATCCGTTCGTGACTTCATCTGACACAATTATATATCATATTTAGTTTTATACCTGGTTACCAAAAATACTCTCAGTCTCTCTTCAGCCAGAAAGATCGGCCCTTTCCTATTGTTCTTTCCGTAATTATCGTAAACGTGGCCTTGAATCTTGGATTATTGTTCGACAACACTTTTTTTAAAAGTTATTTATAGTTTGATCTATAATGGCAAAGCAACTCATGCTAAGCAAATGATAAAAACAGAAATAGACAGGAGGCGAAATACTTCGAAAGTAAACAAGATTGAAAAACGTCGACATTTTGCTATCTTTGGTCATTTTTATGTCTCCTAGCAAGCTTATTATCATTGCTATCATTTTATAACCCACAGTCTAGCAGACGTATCATCAAAGCTACTGATAGTACCATTATTTATTTCATAGACATTTTTTTTCAATAAGTCTCATTTTCTCTTTTCGTCTTCACATTCGCCATTTGTGTAAATTATTGTGTGGAGATTCTCGCTCTGTTTTCTAAGTATATAGACAGTTTTTATTTTCGGCACTAATGCCATTCCCTTTGGGAGGTTCCGCTTGAAGTGAATTTACTTCATATTTATGCAAGATTGTATCGGAAAGATCCTGGTCTAGGCCTAAAAGAATTAGATGAGTAATTATCGAAATGCTAGATAACCTTGACATATTTGAGAAGGATATTAAAATAATGTAGAGCCTATTCTGGAAGCAAACAGCCTGGCATACAAATAGAAAATGAATTCAGTAAATAAACAAAAATAGAAAGTAGTGTAAGACAAGGATATATCTTTTTCACTGGGTATATTCAACCTATACAGCGAGGCGATTCTGAGAGAATTGGAAGCCCTACCGGGGTTCATAATTGGCGGACACAATCTTAACAACATATGATATGCAGATGACAGTTCTGATTTTTAGGGAATTGTAAATCCTACCAGTATTCATTATTGGCGACCAGAATGTTAACAATATAAGATATGCAGATGGCACAGTGTTTATAGCAGACACAGAAAAGAACTAATAGGAACTCTTATAGAAAATAGCGAAGAAAAGCGAGAGGTAAAGACTAAACATCAATTGTAAGAAGACAGAACGTATGCTTGTTCCAAAAAAGGTACAGACCAAAGTGTAAATTACAAATTGGAAATTCCAAAATTAAATAAGTGCTTTCATTTAAATATCAGGAAAATGTTTTAACGGGGGGACAGAAAGTGCGACACTAAAATTCAAAGGCGAAGGATTATTTTAAAGCAGAATATTAAGAAACTGACAAAAATACGTTAGAAACAAAAAAATGGTTACTTTAGAGTTATGTAATATCAGTTCTCCTCTATAGCAGTGGATGCCGTACAATCTCCTCACAGACGAACGAGAAACTTGAAGCAACAAAAATGTGGTCGCACAGAAGGATGCTGAGAATGGACTGAACATTTGAGCGAAGATTTAGAGAAAATGGAAACAAAAAGGACACTTATACTTAACATCAGAAAGTGGCAGTTGAAATTTATAGGGTACATAATGAGAAAAGAGAGCTTGTAAAATGTGATACTCACAACACAAGTTGAAGTCTCTGCTTCCTCCTCTTTCTCTCTCAACGCCTCTCTCATTCTCTTTTCCCTCTCTCAATATATATATATATATATATATATATATATATATATATATATATATGGACAGAGAAAGAGTGAAGGTAGAACTGAGTAAAGCAGACAGCTGGTTGGATTGAGCATCTGCCTCGTTGCATTCTCTTTGATTTTCTTGAAGTCTTAAAAACATGTTTCTTTCAAGTAGGATTTCATTTTTGAAAAGAAAAACGTCGCTAGGGGCGGGATCTGAAGAATAAGGTGGCTGACGGGGCCTAGGAAATGTTGCTATTGGTCAGAAACCGTTGCACAAGCCATGGCTACTGATAGAATCACAGCAGCGTGGTGAGACGACCACACTTTACACAATTTACTTCCAATTACTGATATAAACGAAAGTGAGTGATACCGTTATAACTTAGTGTGTATTCGCAAAAGAGTTCAAGGTCTATCTCTACCAAAATGCTTCTGCGTAGTTTAGCTACGTTACCATAGGAACAGTCCCGACATTTTTTTATCCGGCCTCGTACATGTATTTAGTGTATTTCA